CGGTGCATGGAGCCTGCTTCTCCCTCTGCCTGTGTCTCTGCCTCTCTCTCTCTCTGTGACTATCATAAATAAATAAAAATTAAAAAAAAAAACAAATATGAACTCTAATATGAAAGAATCCTGATAGAGGTTTTCTTGTGTTTGACAACAATCCTCAGCTAAGATGTGAAAATGAAAATTTCCCCATTGTCATAACAAAAAGCGAATTTTGGTCAGTGATACTGGAGGGAAAACTTTATTGTCTTTTGGTTCTTTTTATCTAAAAGTGACATTACAAAGTCATGGTTATATGGGGGGGATAATTTGTTTTCTATTGCTGCTGCAATATTACCACAGATGTGGTGGCTTAATACACAATTTATTATCTTACAGTTCTAGATGTCAGAAGTCCAAAGTCAGAATCACTGGGATGAAGCCAAGATATTGTCGGGCTGGTGCCTTCTGGAAGGTCTAGGAGAGAATCTGTTTCCTGATTTTTGCAGCTTCTAGAGACTGCCTGGATTCCATGGTTCACGGCCCCTTCCTCCATCTTCAAAGCCAGCAACGTGGCATCTGACCACTTTTCCATTATTATGTCTCTTTCTGTGACTGGATCCAGGAAAGTTTCTCTGATTTTCGAGGTCTCTTTCCTCAATCACATCTCTAAAGACCCTTTTGCCATATACGGAAACACATTTACATGTTCTAGGGATTAGAACGTGGATATCTTTGGGGGCCATTATTCTGTCTCCCACAAGGGACCACATTAATATTTGTAATTTGTTGTAATTTCTTTTCTCAATCTTTCTTGCAAATACATATTCTCTTTGGTACCTAATTATGTATTTGCAATGTGCATTCTTGTATTTGAAGAAGACTCCTTCAATCGCACAAGCCTCACTTGACATAAGCTGCCTCGTGGCACCTCTACTTGCCCAATGACCGAGTTGAGAACCTGATGAAGTGTCTCTGACGTGTCCCCAGCAGGGCGGAGTCTGCTGGCGGCTGGAGTGGCTCTGCTCACTGGGCAATGGAGTCGCAGGGGAGCCGGGATGAGGGTGCCCTGGAGCCTGGCTGAGTAGCATGCAGCATGCCCACGTGCTACAGGGCGCTGCAATGGCCCCCGAGCTCTGTGGGCGCTGCTGCGGGGTGCAGGCTGGGGGGCCCCGGATCCGCTGCTCTGGGAGCTGAGTACATGTCCTTCTCTGGCAACTGCCACGATGCTTTTTTGCTGAGCCAGTCCTCTCTCTCTCCCTCTTATGGCTCTGAGGCAATGGTGGGCCCAGTATTAACCTGTGTCTCTCCTCTCTCATGCTGCCTTTTGAAAAACACCCATCTTCAGAGTCTCCCTTTGGCCATTTACTCTGCCCTCTTCTCATCTTCATGCTACCTCCCACCTCAGCCCCTGTGCCGCTGGTCATGCCCAAACGTCCTCCTCTCTGCTCTGCCTCGATGACACTCCCCACCCTCACCCCCTTAGTGTCATCTCTTTCCCAAATCTACTTCAGCACCCAGGCAAGGCCTTCTCTCCTGCTCATCTTTCCCCTTCTAGCATTTTCCTCTTCCTGCTCTGGTGAGAATTTTCTCCTCCACCTCCAGACATCTCTGCTCAACTTGGCAATCCAACAGGCAACATCCTGGGCCTTCTACCGGGCACTTCCTTCTTCTCTGGCCGCGAAGCTGCTTCCCACGTCTATACTCGGTGTTTGGCCCAGATGTATCCACAGCCCAGCTCGCTGTGGTCTCACACACAGTGTCTCAGTATGTGGCTCCAAGGGTCCCTAGTGGAGACTTCCCACCCCCACTCTCTCCCAAGCCACAGACTCTCTCCCCAGCACCTCTTTTGCATGTGCTCCTTCTGCAGGGGAGGACCGTGGTATCCACACAGGTTTCTGATTCTCCTGGTCTTTCTTCATGATCAGCCACCTACCCCATGTAGGTGTAAATACTCGCGCCGAGTGTGCTGCCTCTCACAGCTCAATCCCCCTTGATCAGCAGATGCCAACTCTGTGGACAGGGTCTCATTCGGCTTCATTTTGGACCCTGAAGCTGCGCAGATGCTCTGCAGGGGTGTGTGTGTGTGAGCCTCCTGCAGCCACCACCCCCGGGGTCTAAGCCCACCCTGGGGTCGTGCAGTTCTCCTCCTCCTCCCAGGCTGCCTCTGCAGCCCGTCCCCGGCCCCGCTTAAGGATCCTGGCTCGTCCCGTGGTAGAAACTTCCCTCCACGGTTCCTTGAACACTTCCCTGCACTACCGCCCTGGGATGCACCACTGTCCTTCCGTTCTGCCTCCCAAGTCAAACTTGTCCTCCCTGTAGGGCAGGTTTTCCCTCATGCTCGGATGCCCGAGCCCGGTGAGGAACAGGTGCAGCCCTCAGTCAAAACTGGATGCTGAATTCATCTTATGAGATTCACAGGAACGAGAGATGTGGCTGGCCTGGCCCCTACCGGTCACCCAGTTGCTGTCATTTTCCTGTCCATGGAGCACCCTGCTGTGAGGACTGATGGGGGGGGAGTAGGGTCAGAAGTGCAGGCATCAGCTGACACCCCCATCCACCCCAGGTCCCCATTTTATTTTCTGCATGATTCTGTGTTGACTGAGTGCAGCTACGAGTTCTGCTCCACATGGCATCAGCTGGATGCTCGACTGGACTGCGCTGGCTCACTGTCCTGGAACCTGGTGGGGGGAAGCCTGGTGCGGGTGGGCCCCTTGCACCTCGGCACGTCAGGGCTTTCCCTCTTCACATGGCCTCTCTGCACGATCCCTTCGGGTGGGCACCCCAGCAGCATGGCTAAACTGTCTCACACCTGGGTGAGGGACCCCCAGAAGGCAGGAGCAGAAGCTATCCGGCCTCCTTGCAGCTCCGGCCCAGAACTGGCACAGTATCAGGTCCCCGCGTTTCTACTGGTTGAAGCAAGTCACAGGCCCTTCCAGACTCCTCACGGGAGAGGACTGCCCCAGGCTGGGGACCTGTGGTTTGTTGGGAGCTGACTTCGGAGCCTAGTTGTCACGGATTCTCTAACTGGGGCTTCATAGGGATATGAGAGAATGAACTACACAATGTACCAGATCTGTTTATTTAACAGTGAACTCGGGCAAAACAAAGTAAAAGTTACACAAACGCTATGAAGGGAGACCCTGGCCTTGATCCTAATACCCCTTCATTATGGAGCTGGAGAATGTATCAGTCAGAGTGTGAGTTAATGTCTCTTTTGCAGACAATTCTTTGCACGTCTAATTGTGCTGTAAGCTGTTTCTGCTTGCCCTCCAACATCTCTTTATTTTTTTATTTTTATTTTTTTAAAGATTTTATTTATTTATGAGACACAGAGAGAAAGAGAGGGATAGAGACACAGGCAGAGGGAGAAGCAGGCTCCATGCAGGGAGCCCGATGCAGGACTCGATCCCAGGACCCCAGGTTATGCCCTGGGCCAAAGGCAGACGCTCAACCGCTGAGCCACCCAGGGATTCCCCCCCCCCCCCCAACATCTCTTTAAATCAAATCCTTTGCTTCAGGTTTTCTGGACGCTCTAAGTATACCCTTCGTGCACACGCCCTTCTGAGGTCAGGACTGCGAGGTGAAGAATCAGGAGGGAGTCCCCCCACACCTACTCCCTTCACGTTTCCCATCAACCTATTTATATGCGGTTTTCTGGAGGGGCAGGGCTGTGGGGCAGATGAATTTCCACTGCATTTTTACAACTGTTTGCTCTCCTCTATCGTCCCGTGTGAAATAGAAAGTTGTGTGTTGAAACTGCACTAAAAGTTTTATTTGGGGTTGAGGAAAGGCAACCCCTGTCTTGGGTGTGGCCCCGCCATCAGCGCCCCGAGGCTTTGGGGAGGAGTCCGCCGCAGGCCAGCGCCCCCCCAAGCCCCCGGCCTCCCGGCCCTCCAAGTAGAGGGCCCACCGTCCAGGGGAGGGCTCCGGGGCGAGCGGCGCGGGGGACAGGCCGCGCTTCTACGCCTTGCCCGCCGCCCCGCGCCTGCGCCGGCTCCGCTCCCTGCTCGGCTGGAAGCCCCCTTTCTGCCGCAGCCTATCGGCTTGTCCTGGGAGCTCGGGCCACGCCTGCCCGCCAGCCGGTCGCCCGGACCCCCCCACCCCGTCCCAGAACGTCTTCAACAGGTGACCTCCCCGGGCCCTCGGCGGGGTCGGGGGCTCCTGACCTCGGGCTCCTTGGACGGCTCCTGTGGGCCCACCGCGCAGCCCTTCCCTCCCAACCTCTTCCTCTCCCCGTCCCCTCGCCAGGTTCTCCCTCCCGCTCTACTCCGCGGCCCTCGCCAGGTTCTCCCCCTTGCGCTCTACCCCGCGGCCCTCTCCAGGTTCTCCTCCTCGCTCTACCCCGTGGCCCTCGCTAGGTTCTCCTCCTCGCGCTCTGGTCCACACCCCTCGCCAGGTTCTCCCCCTCACGCTCTACCCCGCGACCCTTGCCAGGTTCTCCTCCTCGCGCTCTAGTCCACACCCCTCGCCAGGTTCTCCCCCTCACGCTCTACCCTGTGGCCCTCGCCAGGTTCTCCTCCTCGCGCTCTAGTCCACACCCCTCGCCAGGTTCTCCCCCTCGCACTCTACCCGGAGGCCCTCGCCAGGTTCTCCTCCTCGCGCTCTAGTCCACACCCCTCGCCAGGTTCTCTCCCTCGCGCTCTACCCCGAGGCCCTCGCCAGGTTCTCCCCCTCGCGCTCTAGTCCACACCCCTGGCCAGGTTCTCCCCATCGCGCTCTACTCCGTGGCCCTCGCCAGGTTCTCCTCCTCCCACTGTACTCCGCGGCCCTCGCCAGGTTCTCCCCCTCGCTCTACTCCGCGGCCCTCGCCAGGTTCTCTTCCTCCTGCTGTACCCCGAGGTCCTCGCCAGGTTCTCCCCCTCGCGCTCTACTCCGCAGCCCTGTGGCCGCAGACACGCTCCCGCGTCTCCGCCCCCCGCCCCCCACAGGTCTCCCAGCACCGAGCCTGCCCCGAGGGGTCAGCTCTGGGTCCGCCCCGGCCTCTGTCCGGCGCCCTCCAGTCCCTGTGGTTCCCTCCCCTCTAGCCCCGCAGGCCCCGGAGCCAAGCTGGAGGCGAGACTCGGGGAAAGCGGGGACCATGCTGACCCTGCGCCCTCGCAAGAAGCCGCCACGGCTCCCGGGAAGGCTGCTGGGGGCGCGGACGCCGGAGCTGGGTGTCCCCAGGTGTGTCGTGTGTGCGGGGACAGGGCGACCGGCTACCACTTCAACGTCCTGACGTGTGAAGGATGCAAGGGCTTTTTCAGGTAGTTCCCCGCCAGCCTTCACCCACCTGTCACCCCCACGCTGCAGGTCCGTCCTGCGGGGTCCTGCCACCAGCCCACTGGGCGCCGCCTCAGGGGCCTGTCCTCGGTTTCTCCGTGTCCTTGAGCACACTGGAGAGCCAGGTCACAAAAGGGGAAAGGATCTGAAAAGCCAGGGCGGCAGGTGCTCACGTCAGCTTTAGGGGGTGGTTGTTAAGCAGAGGAGGGCGGAACAGAAAAAGAGGAATAGGACCAAACAGCCTCATCTAGAAACAGGCGGCGGGGAGGCCAAAGCCCCCGGATGAGCAAGCAGCAGTCCCCGCAGGCCGCGCCAGGAGCTGCACCCTGGCCCAGAGGAAAGAAGCCAGGGCGGAGGGGGGCGGGGGGGGGGGGCAGAGCAGGGGGCAGAGCAGGGGGCAGAGCAGGGCGGCAGGGGACAGGGCCCGGGGGGCTCAGGAGTTCTCGGGGGCCCCAGGAGGGCCGTTGCCACCCCCCCCCTTCCAGCTCCCAGGACAGCCAGGCAGCCTTGGCCCCTGAGCACTTGTCTCGGTCTGGGCCCTGGAGCCGGCCCCCAGGCTGCAATCCCTCCGACCGGCTGCGGGCAGGGCGCCCTGGGTGAGGGCCCAGCACCCACGGGAGGACCCAGGCAGGCGCTGCGGCCGCCCGGCGTCCCCTGGCTTCGGGGCTGACGGCGCAAGTCTTGAGCCACTTGCGGGTCCCGCGGGGTGGGTTGGGGGGGCAGTGCGGGCCCCAAAGCGGCCACGTGGGCATGAACACCTGTGTCCGGTCGCTCCTAACAGGGTCCGGAGAGAAGTGTCGCTGGGGCCCCGTGGCCTAGGGTCCCGGGTGGCCCCCAACCTGCCTTTCGCTCTCCGACCTCCCGCAGGAGAACCGTGAAACGCAACACGCGGCTGAGGTGTCCCTTCCGGAAGGGCGCCTGCGAAATCACGAGGAAGACCCGGCGACAGTGCCAGGCCTGCCGCCTCCGCAAGTGCCTGGAGAGCGGCATGAAGAAGGAGAGTGAGAGCCGGGCGAGCCCCGGGGGCGCGGGCGCGGGGGCACGGGGAGCGGGTGCGGGTGCACGGGGCGCGGGGGCACTGGGCGCGGGTGCACGGGGCGCGGGGGCACGGGGTGCGGGGGCACGGGGTGCAAGTGCACGGGGTGCGGGGACACGGGGCGCCGCGGGGGTGCACGGGGCGGGGGTGCACGGGGCGCCGCGGGGGTGCACGGGGTTCAGGTGCACGGTGTGCGGGGGCACGGGGCGCCGCTGGGGTGCACGGGGCGCCGCTGGGGTGCACGGGGCGCGGGTGCACGGGGCACCGCGGGGTTGCACGGGGCGCAGGTGCACGGGGTGCGGGGGCACGGGGCGCCGCTGGGGTGCACGGGGCACGGGTGCACGGGACGCGGGTGCACGGGGCGCCGCGGGGTTGCACGGGGCGCAGGTGCACGGGGTGCGGGGGCACGGGGCGCCGCGGGGGTGCATGGGGCGCAGGTGCACGGGGCGCGGGTGCACGAGGCGCCGCGGGGGTGCACGGGGTGCAGGTGCACGGGGTGCGGGGGCACGGGGCGCCGCGGGGTGCATGGGGCGCAGGTGCACGGGGCGTGGGTGCACGAGGCGCCGCGGGGGTGCACGGGGTGCAGGGGCACGGGGTGCGGGGGCACGGGGCGCCGCGGGAGTGCACGGGGCGCGGGTGCACCGGGCAACGCGGGAGTGTACCTGAGGGGAGGAGAGCCCTGGGCGCCTGGGTGCTGCCCAACCCCGCAGAGCACCCTTACTCCCTGCTCTGGGGGGTGCGGTGGGCCTCCGGTGCCCCCTTCTCCCCTCAGGTGCCCTTGAGTGACTCTTGTTGCCTTTACACTTGTCCTAAAGGTGTTTTAGCCAAATTGGGCCAGGTGAATTGGGGGGAAGGAAGCCAGAGACCCTTGGTGTGATATGACCCCCGGCCTTCCAGCAGCTAGCGCCATCAGCCTCCCAAACCCCACGACCTACAGAGGAGCGGGCTGCGGACAGGTGACACAGGAAGCTCTCCTCACTGTCAAGCGTTGGTGTATGATTGCCCTTGCAGGTCACTCTGAGGTTAAAGCTAGTAGGGAAAAGGCTGGAAGCTTCCAGCACGTGTCTCCACTGATCCGAGTGGGCAGCCTCTTTCAGGGCACGAGTTCCCTGGGCTTGTGGAAAGAGAGCCTTTCCTGCAGGCCACCGAGAGCCAGGCCCTCCCTGGGCTGTCCCTGCTCTTCCTGGCACCAACCCCCACCTCCGCCCTGCGCGCCAAGTAGGTTCTAAAAATCCATGGAAGGCCCTGAGGCTCCAGGCCGTGTAGGACGTGGCTGGAGCTGATATTTCCTGCTAAGCAGCGGCCCCAGCTCTCTAGGGTCTTGGAGACCCAGATGCCTCGGGGGACCCTACGGGGTCTTACTGGTGTCTAATTGCCCCCCCCACCCCAGACGACTGACCGTTTATCCTGCAGGCAATGCCTCCTTGTGGCAGCAGCGTGAGATGGCGCTGTGGCTCCAGATTACGAAGGTGACTGAAGCCCGGAGAGGTTAAGGAGCTCACCCAAGGTCACCGCTAGCAAGTGACAAAGCTGTCGCTCAAACCCAGCACCTTTTGATTCTGCAGCCCAAGCTCTTGCCACCCTTCCAAAGTTGTCACCAACCCGCTGACAAGGGCCACACACCAGCTGCACCTCTTTGTCCTTAACGCAGTGTTTCTCCAGGGGAGCCCACGGTCTAGGAAGGGTCGGGTTCTTTGTCACCAGCACTTCCCCTCTGCTGCCTGGGGAGGGTCACCTGCAGGTGCCTGAGCCCGCACCTGGCTCTCCCCGCAGTGATCATGTCCGACGCGGCTGTGGAGCAGAGGCGGGCTCTGATCCGGAGGAAAAAGCGAGAACGGATGGGTGCGTCGCCGCTGGGAGCCAAGGGGCTGAGTGAGGAGCAGCAGACTATGATCAGAGAGCTGATGGAGGCCCAGATGAAAACCTTTGACACCACCTTCTCCAACTTCAAGGATTTCCGGGTATGGGCCTTCGGGTTGGCTCAGCCATCATGCTAGCTCCTCCAAACCCCAGGGCTCTCAGAGAGTGGCCCCTGTTCGCCCGCAGCTCTGTCCCTGGGAAATTGTTAGAAGTGCCGCTTCCCAGGTCACCCCGGCCCCGCTGAGTCAGAACTGAGGGTGGCCCAGCAGCCAGCCGGTGCTTTGACAAGATCCCCAAGGTGACTCTGACACATGCTCCCTTCTCTCCTTCCACAGCAGGTGGCAAGTGGGGCTGAGCCCTAAAGAGAGTTTGGGGAGCTGAGTGGCTCCAGGGTTGTTGGCATCTGGCCTTTGCGAGGACAGGCTCAGGACCCGTCGGGGCTGCGGCCTTCGTGAACGGGTTTTACGTTTCTGTGCTCAACCACGTCAGCCAGTCTAATCCCAGGCCTCTCCTCCCGCTCTGTGCTCTCAGGGGTCCGGGGGACCTGCTCTGCTCAGAGAGCTGGAGCCAGGAACCGCAGAAGTCGGTTCTTTCCCTCTGTCACTCCCAGAACCTTTCTTCCCTCCTAAGGTGTTATTTATTTATTCATGAGAGAGGCAGAGACACAGGCAGAGGGAGAAGCAGGCTCCTCGAGGGGAGCCCAATGCGAGACCCGATCCCGGGACCCTGGGGTCACGCCCTGGGCCCAAGGCAGATGCTCAACCACTGGGCCGCCCAGGTGCCCTGAGAATCGTCTTTTAAGTAGGGATGCTTGGGACACAGCCACAGGCAGACAGTCCCCGGGTGGGAGAGCAGACCCGTTTCCAACCAGGCGGGGGTGGAGGGAACGTTGATACACAGATGCCGAGGTGCACCACCTGCCAGGGGAAGACCAGAGAGGAGAACCGAGCGTGTGTGCGTGTGCGAGTGTGCGAGTGTGCGTGCGTCCTCTCGGGCTGCGGCTGTGGCTGCACGTGCCCCGCCAGCCCGGGGGGGACCCTGCCGGGGACATGACACGCTGTCTCCCGCGCCCCCCGTCCACCTGCCGGCTCCTGTCTCAGCTGCCGGCCGTGTGCAGCAGCGGGCGCGAGGTCCCAGGAGCCGCGCACACTCCAGTGGGGGAGGAAGCTGCCAAGTGGAGCCAGATCAGGGAGGATCTGTGCTCCCTGAAGGTGTGCCTGCGGCTGCGGGGGGAGGACGGCAGCGTCCAGAACTACAAACCCCAGGCCGACCGCAGCGGCGCCGAGATCTTTTCCCTGCTGCCCCACATGGCCGACATGTCCACCTACATGTTCAAAGGCGTCATCAACTTTGCCAAAGTCATCTCCCACTTCAGGTAGGCCCCGGCGGCCGGGCGCGGGCGTGGAAGGGAGCGGGCAAGCTAGCAGGCCCCAAGGGGCTGGGGCGGATTCGAATGAATTTGGGGTCCCTGTGATACAGAGACCCTGCTTCTCTCTCATGGAGTCAAAGAACGGATCTCGCGGACAAGAGAGAGTGAGCGAAGCATCAGAAGTTTGTTAGGCAGAGATAGAGAAAGCTCTCGAGAGTGAGAGGGCCCAGGGCATGATCTCGGGGTCGTGGGATCCAGTCCCTCTCAGACTCCCCGCAGGGAGCCCGCTTCTCCCTCTGCCGGTGTCTCTGCCTCTCTGTGTGTCTCTCATGAATAAATAAATTAAAAAAATAATAATGCGGTGAGGATGGCCACGGGTCTGATTGTGGCAAATCATGTCAGGGGAGTAAGGAGACAGGCCTGCTTACGTGTGCGCATCCTCGCCTCTGACGCCTGTGGGCCACAAGGGCACACACGGTGTGAGGTCACTTTCCTGTCTCGTGAGCATGACCGTGAGCGTGTCCCCTGTGGGCCAGCATCACCATCGCCTTCATTCCACCCATGGGAGACTGAGGCCTGCTGAGGCCCAGGAGCTTGTGCGGGGTCGAAGTTCACGGGGGGCAGGTTTGGAAGCTGAGAGCACAGAGTTCAAAGCCAGCTACCTGCCAGGTCCTGAGCCGGGCGCCGGGAGACACGAGAGGTCACGGGTCTGAAAGGAGGGGGTTGGTGCAGAAAACAAGGGACTCCATTTCCGAGGAGCCCGGAGATAGGCAGGGCGCCCCCAGGAGCCAGCCTACCCGGCCTCCCTTCGGGGCTCCCGCGGAGTGGCCCTCGGTGGGAGCGGGGCCTGTCCGATCCGGAGGGCGCCGGTGCACCCGCGACTGTCGGAGGGGGCGTCCGCGTTGCCTGGGGAGAAGCCCAGAAATATTAAACCCAAGACCTCAGGAAGCAAGTCTTCCTGGGGCGGCTTGGAGGCCCAGCAGGGTGCGCTTAAGGGAAGCGAGAAAGGCAGTCATCCCAAGTGGGGAAATGGAGGCAGAGTGTGAGGGTAGGGACAGCAGGTGCCGGAGGAGAGGGGCGGCACTGGAGGGGATGCTGCACGGGGGGGGGGGGTTCAGCCCCCCTGTGGGTGAGGGGCTGCTTGCCTGGTGTGAGGGGAGGGAATAGAGGTGACGAAAGCAACTGTGGTACCCTCGGGGGAGGAGCCCTTCGGCCCCCCGAAGTCTGGGTAATGAGAGGGGGCTGGCCTGTGGCCCCCCGCATGGAGGCTGGCACCCCCATCCTTCTGACAGGGAATTGCCCATCGAGGACCAGATCTCGCTGCTAAAGGGGGCCACCTTCGAGGTGTGCCAGCTGAGGTTCAACACGGTGTTCAACGCAGAGACCGGAACCTGGGAGTGTGGCCGGCTGTCCTACTGCCTGGAAGACCCTGCAGGTGCGGGGGACGCCCGCCTGCCTGGCTGGGGCGGGGAGCAAACACAAGCGGAGGGAGGAGAGGAGCCCCCGGGACACGCGGGTCCCCGGGTGCAGGGCGGAGACTGGGCGACGGGAAGAAAGACCTGGGTGCTGCAAGTCTGAGAAGCTCACCTGCCCCTCCATCCTACACCCCCCTGCAGGCGGCTTCCAGCAGCTTCTCCTGGAGCCGGTGCTGAAGTTCCACTACAGGCTGAAGAGGCTGCAGCTGCATAAGGAGGAGTATGTGCTGATGCAGGCCATCTCTCTTTTCTCCCCAGGTGATGACCCCACCTGTCCTGCCTGCCAGGCCCCGCCCCCAGGCTTGCTTGCACCCCTCAGCGCTAGCTGGAGGAGGCAGCAGCCCCACCCAGACCCTCCCCAGGGAAGGTCCCAGTCCATGGCCTTGCCCCCATCCACTGCCTGGCCAGAAGGGCCCCCCCACCGGCTGGCTCCTCCTTGGGTTGGTGGGGTGATGCCCCCTTGCAGTGCTGCCCTCACTTCCTGGGTGCCCCTGGCTCTGGAAGGCAGTTGGCTGGCAGTTGGCCCTCCACGGGCTGGACTGATCTTGTCTTTGCCGCCGCGGCCTTGCTGGCCCCATGCCTTGGGCCCTGCAGACCGCCCAGGTGTGGTGCAGCGCAGCGTGGTGGACCAGCTGCAGGAGAGATTTGCCGTCGCCCTGAAGGTCTACATCGAGTGCAATCGACCGCAGCCTGCCCACCGGTGAGCAGCAGACCGGGAGGGGGTGAGGGGGCCCTCCGGCAGCCCGGTCCTCTGGGTCCCCGCCTGTTCTGGGCCTCTCTGAGAGGGCAGGCCCACTCCTGGGGCAGCCTCCTATTGCCAGGGCTCTGGGTCCCTGTTCTGTGACCTCCAATGAGGCATCCGGCCCTGTCAGCCGGAGCTCCAGCCCAACACTGGAGGAACCTGAGGAGGGCCTGGGGTCATGCCCAGCCCTGGACATGGCTCCTGAGGCCCAGGTCCTGTCTGCCCTTTTCTTTTTTTAAGATTTTATTTATTTATTCATGAGAGGCACACACACACACACACACACACACACACACACACACACAGAGGCAGAGACACAGGCAGAGGGAGAAGCAGGCTCCATGCAGGGAGCCTGATGTGGGGCTCGATCCAGGGTCTCCAGGATCACACCCTGGCTGAAGGTGGCGCTAAGCCGCTGAGCCACAGGGGCTGCCCCTGTCTGCCCTTTTCTGCTCCTGTCAGCGAGGGATGGGAACAGCCAGGTGCCCCCCAAGGCTCCCACAGGCTCTTCTAGCAAAAGGCAGCAGTAACTGCAATGTAGTACAGATGACCACGCCACAATAACGATGGCAACGATAAATGGACGTGCACTGAGATGTGCCAGCCGTGGCGCCAAGCAGTTGATGTGCATTGTCACTACGGCCTCATGAAATGGGTGCTCCTGCCACCCTGCGAGGGGCTGAGGCTAAGGATCCAGAGCCAGATAGCTGGGGTCTGGAGGTGGCCCCGGGCAGGCCAGCCCATGGCCCCCACTTTGAGCGCTACCTCCTCACCCAGGAACTAGGAGAAGCGGCCGGGGAGCTGCTGGGTGTGTGCCGGTCATCACCAAAGGAGGAAGGCTGCTCAGGGCCAGGCCGGACGGGGCCTTCCACCCTTCCCTGGCTCTGCAAGGCCCGCGGCCTGGCCTGGAGGGCTGAAGGCCGGCATAGGACATGCTGGCCGGGCTGAGAACCTCGAGTCCTTACCTGGCCGCTCACTTCAATCTGAGCTAAGCCTCTGGGCCACGTCTTGATTCACTAGGTCCTCCCCTGTTCAGAGCCAGGAGGCGGCATGCAAGAACTGAGGCCCGAGGTTTGTCTCAGACCCTAGGTCCCAGGCTAGATCCGGGAAGGATCTGCAGGGCAGCCTGCAGTCACTGCCCCCATGACGGCACCACCGGGTCCTGACCCGCAGCCGTTGGCCAAGGTGGTACTTTCTCCCTGGATTGCCCTGTGTGCATGGATTTTTCCCAGGGAAGGGGCAGCATCTGAGGGCTCAAGCCCAGGGCGTGAGGGGCAAGCAAGGAGGGGGAGTCCGCACCTCAATTCCCCCAAGCCTGCTCTGCCCCTCTCATCTCAGCAGAGCAAGAGATGCTCAACCGAGCCTTGTCTCTTGGCTTGCCTGAGATGTTCTAAGATTAATACCCCCAAACTCGTGTCCCTTCAGAGCAGTCCCAGGGTCGGTGGATGGGGGCAAGGGTGGGCTGCACCCCCAACTTTTCCTCTGGCTGGCCTGCAGGTTCCTGTTCCTGAAAATCATGGCCATGCTCACCGAGCTTCGCAGCATCAATGCCCAGCACACCCAGAAGCTGCTGCGCATCCAGGACATACACCCCTTCGCCAGCCCCCTCATGCAGGAGCTGTTCAGCATCACGGATGGCTGAGCCGCTGCCTCAGGAGAGCCTCCAGGGGGGGCAGCCAGAGCCTGAGCCCTCGGAGCTGCCATTCCCCAGGACTAGATAGACAGATGGACACCGCTGAGAGCTGACAATGCCCTACAGGCCCTGCCTCCCCAGGCATCTCCCAGCCACAGCTCTGGCAATGCTGCCTCACATTGGAAGGGGACAAGGGTCTCGCCAGCCCCCAGCTCAGTCTGTGGAGAGTGAAGGCACGGACACTTGGATGGAGAGCGCACGGCCTATCGGTCAGGCCATCCAGAGGCAAGACCACCCTCCCCTTAGAAATGGGCCTGTGCTCTGGGGGATCTAGTGCCATGGTGGGAGAGGGCAAGGGTGCTTGGGGCTGGACCATCTGAGAGTCTCCCCACACCCAAGTTCACTAGCTCCTTGGGTGCTTTCACTAAGTACCCCTGTGTCCCCCACCCCACTCGTTCCCCACCTGCAGCCTCCTGTCCTGAGCTCCTTAGTGTGCCCCAGGCCTGTGTTCATCAGCAGGTGCTGTGGGAGGTCAGTGAGAGACCCTGTGAGGGGCCGGCAGCAAACGTCAGAGGCTCGTCATGACCTCTTCTGCCTTCTGGGGCCCTCATTCTGTGCCTCTGCATCCATCTGAACACATTCAGGAGCACCAACAGAATGCAGCTTGCTGGGGGGTATACGCCCACTCAGACGTGGTTCCTGACCTTCAAGACTTTGAAGCTCAACCCAAGGAAACAAAGCAGAAACACAAGTGACTTTGATCCAAAGAAGTGACATAAGCAGCACAAGGACTCTCTTCCTGTGAATGCCAAGCTCTGTGGGACTCTGCATGCCCTTGAGGACCCAAGTGAGGGATCTCTGGAACGCGTGTTCATGGGAGGAAGGGTGCTAACCAGTGTGTGCACATGTGTGGGACTTGGTTAGGTCTGCTCCACATCTGAGCTGGGGCTTGCGTTTGCCCCTGACATCTGACGGCTGTTGGTGTAAAAACAAAAATGACCTAACTTGGTTTGCTCATAAAATGATTATTGCACGTAAAAATCCATATAGAAATGATACACCTCCCCAACATGCTGTATGTGTTTATATGTATATAGATGATAGATAGATGATAGATAGATACCAAAATTAAAAATGGAGAAATTGGGGATCCCTGGGTGGCGCAGCGGTTTGGCGCCTGCCTTTGGCCCAGGGCGTGATCCTGGAATCCCGGGATCGAATCCCACGTCAGGCTCCCGGTGCATGGAGCCTGCTTCTCCCTCTGCCTGTGTCTCTGCCTCTCTCTCTCTCTCTCTGTATGACTATCGTAAATAAATTTAAAAAAAATTAAAAAAAAATGGAGAAATTGAATTAAATACTCCTTGCCATCCCCCCAGATTTACCATCCTCTTCTGCCTCAAGGATATAGAGCTCATTTTTAAAAAAGAAACTGAGGAGAAAAAAGAGCTCCTCTTTCCAAATATGACAAATACAGATTTTGTTCCCAGTTTTGTCTCATTTGGAAATATAAATTTTATTCAACTGTATTCATAAATCCTATGCATCTCCTCTTCCCCATTGAGTTAATTTTAAATTAATTTCGGGCTCCTGAATGAATTCAAGGGCCCGAGATAGTTGTTAAATATAGGCTATAGTGAGGCAAAAATTGGGATGGGCTGTAAACTGTCCTGGTATTGATTTTAAAAATAGCTGGGCAGCTGAATTGATATGTACGTAGGATTTATATGTTTTATAAAAACTGTTGTAGTCCAAGTGTAGTTAAGATTCAAGGTGAGATACACCAAATTGCTCACACAGGATATTTCAATAACTTTGTGGATCTTGAGTTTATAGGGCTAGGAGCCAGATTGCACTTTCCTACTCTCAACATTTGGACTGCTCCATTACTCCCTCTCCTGAGCCTTTGAGTGCATAGAACTGTCAGTTCTGGGGCTGCTGTTCATTTTCTAGGTCTTGCCTCAGGTGAGGCAAAGCTCAGGAGAAAAGCTCTTCTAAGTTCTTTTTTTTTTTTTATTAAAGATTTTATTTATTCATGAGCGACATAGAGGCAGAGACAGAGGGAGAAGCAGGCTCCATGCAGGGAGCCTGATGTGGAACTCGATCCTGTGTCTCCAGGATCATGCCCTGGGCTGAAGGTGGCGTTAAACCACTAAGCCACCCGGGCTGCCCTCTCCTAAGTAAGTTCTGCTGGCCTTCTGGCCACCCCCACCCACCATTAGCCAGGGGCACTAAGCAGCCAATCTCTACCTGGCCCAGACTTTAAGGTCCCTTTTAAAGCATTGACATCAACAAGTCTTCCTGTGGGAAGGCTGGGGTGGCTTCTCCGTTCTGGAGAAGAGGATGTAAAGAGAAACAGACTTTTGACTGACCATCCCTTCCTGGCTTCTGACAACTTGGGGGCGTCTTAGTGCCATGTTACACAGCAGCTGGTTACCTCTGGTATATCCCCTTACTATATGCACAGTGCTCCTAAATCTGAAGGTGCTGGTGGGCAGATGAATAGCTTACTCCCAAGAAATGAGTGGCCACACTATCACTTTTGGTCACTTCCTTTCACAAACTTCTCCATGAGGAGCTCTGCAGCCTGATTCCTCCCTTTCTTGACTACTCTTCTAGAATACCTGTGAAATGGCACCTGCTACCAGTGCTCTCCTGAAATGTGATCCAAAGGACAGATTGGTTGGTACTTTTTGGAAGACTTGAAAACTGAAAATGCAGTCTTTCAGGCTTTTCGGTTAAAAGGGTATCTTGCTCCATTCCAATAGAAGAGCAGTGAATCCCAAAAGCACTTCAGTGCCATCAGGAGGCCCATCCCACAAGTCCCATCATTATATTTGCATTTTCCCTCTTTTCCGCCAACCCCATGCAACTGTAAACATGTTTACTGTAAACTGTAAACATAGTAAACATGTTTAACTATCTTTCAAGTTCTTTCAAGTATTAGCCAACCCCCTCCCCACGAGATAAATAAAATGAGCAAATAAAGAGCAGACTTTATCCAATATAAATTTGTTTTTATTGAAGCAGCAGTCACATGACTTAATATCTAGCCTTTAGATTAGGCCTGACAGAATGAGCCAGCCCTAAAAAAAATGATGTTTCTTTTTGCACTAAGAGACATAACATGTTTACATACATCATCCAGTATTGGAAATGAGCAGATTCAAACACAACATGTGTTGGTTACCTGGGAGGTACAGCCCCACGGTTCGTGGTGTTCATATATTTTACAGATACTCCCAAAGACCATTACTAATGGGATGAAAGTTAAAAGAAAATACAGCTACAGTAAACCATGAACACAGTAATCAAAGACTTTTACACATTTTAAAAATTTGTCCCTTTCAGGGATATTTTCTTTCTTTTCAAAGCAGTGTCTGCAAAGCTTCCTCTACACCAAATCCAAAGGTTTCCAAAATGGAAGCTGCACCTCTTGGGGCTATACAATGGAATAAGATAATTTTAAAGAACGAGAACTAGTGTTTGTATCTTGATTTTTTAACAAAGATCCATGTTTCTCTAATTGGAGGAACGGAGATGGCAATGTGACTACATATTGCAGTAGCAAGATAGGGTGAAGAAAAGAAGGTTGGGTACTGAAATAAAGACCACACACTTGTGAATTTTAATTTCATTTCCAGGCTAACCTACTTTTTATTTAATGCAAATTACAGTACCAGTTAACTATTTCCAAACCAAGTCACATAGAACGAAATGTATTTACAAGGGAATGGGGAAAGGGGAAAAAAAACATTGAGCATACTTTTCACAAAAAAGTTTATATTTAAAATGAAAAAAAATCAGTCACAGAGGCATTCAAGTAGTAATAATGTTATACAGATTTTGCTTTTCCTTTATATCAAGACAGATTTGCACAAGTGTTTGCAATAGTTTGTATACAACCCACAGTCCTTTATATATATATATATATATAATAAATTTTGTTTAGATTTGTTTTTAAGATGGAAGTGGTCACGCTAATTGGTATGTGTACAGGCCCAAGTGATCCATCGGCAACACATTTATAATGCAAATTTTACAGGCAAGCACATTTTCATACATCTATCTGTATCTGCCTGTAGACAGATATTAAGAAAAAAAACTGAAAAATGAACACAAGGAAGTCTACTTTGTCAAGCTAACCCCTTATGTACTGGTTGTCATTTTGCTTTTATTGCAGAGGTGCAAAACGGAGCAACAAACTTGAATAAAACGTCATAACCCTTGTGAAAATAATCCAAACCCCAGGGATTACTTTCAAAGCCTCTCAGACGTAGACCTTAGTCTGGGACTCTACTCTGCTTCTAGTTGTCTCTCTTATTTTCAGTGGCTCAGGTTTCTACCAGAAAAGACAGATTTTATTGTAAAGCATGCTTAGTTTATTTTTCTATATAGGGGAGAAAGTGTTCGGCTCTGTGATTAGATGATCACTAACATAAAAAATAGAAATCAGATACAATTTTGGTTTAAAACAAAGGATAACCCCCCAAACTCCTGGGGATCTGGCATTGGCCAAACTTCCTTTGGAAGATTTCCAAAGTTAAATCCCTTAAAAAGGAAAGGGAAAAAGAAATGCCAGTGTCTTTATATCCACAGGGATAGAGAATACAATAGTCCTCTCAGAAACCTTTGCATTGGTGCAGACAAGATGACTGGTTAGGCAGGCTTTGTTAAAACACAAACCAAAAATATGTGTCTAAAAATTAAGAGGACTTAAAAAATGGACACAACATGTCACTGGAAAGAAGGTGCAGTCTTCTGCCTTGCTGGAATGAACACACGATGTTTCAAAAATAGCAACCTTTGGTTTGGTAAAGTTTGTTTTTTTCTTCTACTCAAGACATCTTATATGGAGTACTTGGAGGCAAAACAAATGATTTTTTTTTCTTTCAAAAAAGGTCTTCATGATGGGCATACAGTAAGAATCAAACTTATTTAAGAAGGAAATGAAAATGACATTTCACTGAACAGGGATAGAGGTGGCAGGAGGGAGGGGAAAGGTAAGAGTTCTCTTGTTAAAACAACAGTCCTCTGTTGGCATGTCCTCTTGGCTCGGTGGCACTCGACGCAGTAACTGCTAGTAATTGCACTACAGCATTTCAGACCACTGATGTATCAAAACCTGGTACTATTAAGAAACTTGGATTTATAAAACCTGTCTCTCTCTCTCTCTCTCATTTGGGAAGGAAGTAGATAAGGGGCAGAGAGCATGGAAGGCTCCCGGAACCTGCTGTTTTGTAAGACCTGTGGTTGGGATTTGGGGAAGAGATGAGCAAACTTGAATTGATTCGGTCTCTTCCAGCTCTAGGGCTCCCTGGCACTACACAAAGTCCCTGGATGGACTAAGTATGAAATGAAACCGGTCACCGCTGACTGCGGAGGAAACAGCTGTTCAGAACTGAAACAAAAGCAGGGCTTAAATGAAGTGAGATCATGGACGAGGTTTCCTCTTTGCACTCCTGAGCATGGTATCACTGAAATTAACTGTGGAAGGGGCAAAGACACTGTTAGGAGTGAGCTATTATTTCAAAGGGAAAGGGGTAGGATAGGGAGACACGGGTAGAAAAACCAATTAAAATTTGAAAAATGATAAACAAAAACAAAAAACAAACACATGGAAGCGAAGGCACTCCAAACTATATAGATACACTATACATTGCTAGAGTTATTGTTACAATAATACAGGCCGGTACCTACTGTACAGAGTTAAAACTATATGGCTTTAAAAAGCTCATCTACATTTTGTCTGATTATTAAACAGAATCACTGCCCTGAACAGTAACTTTTTGCTCATTAATAACAGTTCCTGGGTCCACATATTTACATACAAAACAATAAAACTTAAATTTAAAAACATCGAAAGAAAATATAATGTACAAGCTTGAATTTGGTGAGGAGCTTTTTATTATTATTATTATTATTATTTACAAAAAGATTCAGAGACCTGGATCTCACTTGTATAAAAGAGTTCTGTGATACCGCCACGATCCTTGAGAAAGAAAAATCACGCACCTCAGCCCTCACACACAGAGAAAAGCATCTGCTTTTTCTCTCTTCTTCTCTTACCCCATTTATGGGGGCAAAGGAGGGGGGAGTGTTTCCTAGAACAAGCACAGATTTTTAAGGACTCTGGCAAGAATACCAAGTCCAGAGTAGTGTCTGGGTGCAAATGTCTGGCTGGGCAGTTTGGTACGAAAGCAGGTCCGCTGATCTGTCCTAGACCTGCTGTTCATCTTCTTTATAAATCCTTTCTGAAAATGGTCTACCAAAGCCATTCCCTTTAGGAATCACCTGGCCAAATACTCTCATTCAGACTTCTTCCAAATCTTAATTAGCTCTCAGAAGCGCATTATGAAATGTAAAAGTCAGTTTGCTCGATTTGGTTTGACTGAGTGTGTTTCCTTTCTCACGAACTCTGATATAACCAGAGGTTTGAGAAACCCCTTTTGTGGCCTAAGAGCTTAGCTAAACAGTGAGTGAAAACTAAGATGGCTCACAGTTGCCCTTCTGGGTATTGGTTCACTTCAGCAGGCAGTAGGACTCTCTTGGAGAGTCGCACACACTTGGTTAAGAAGCAGGACAGGGTACTGGGACCTGCGTTGAGGGTTGCCAAGAGACTCCACTTCCAAATCACCTGGAGGGGAAGACCCCTAACATGACCTAAGGTGGCAATGAGGAAGGTGAAGGGAGACTACACACATTCGAGGGCTCAGCTCTACAGCCCTATAGTTAGCAACTAACCTTGGAAGGTGTGTAGGGAAAGAGTGGGGAGAAGGGAAAGGCGGCCATCACTCAAGTGATCTTTAAATGTAAAGTACAACTGATTGTGCCTTAAAGATTCATAGGTCAAGTAATGGCCCATAAGCACCAAGGTGACTAAGGTTCATTTTAGAGTATATAAGGCCCACAAAGATGTCAACCTTAAAAGTGTAAAACAAACTAGTTGTGAAAATCTAATTCCTCACTGCAAACATAATCCTTCAATCCTCTTTGCTTTCCAAGGAATATTGCTTTTTCTTCAGAAACAGAGACTGAGTCTTACACCGTTCACTGATACACAAAGAAAACAGAAACAAAAACTCTTAACTGGGTGTGGGGGGAAACATTCTTCTCATGCTTCGACCAGCTGATTTTGATACTGTGGACAAAAACAAAAATTAAAGGCAGTATTGAATCTATGTATATATAACATATATACATACACACATTTATATAATCAGCTTTCCTATAAAGTCAGCAGGTACACGTGACTGTTTATACCATTTTGATGTGTAGTTCTTAAGATTCCTACCATCTAAAATCATATGGTCTACCTGACATACGTCAATAAATAAAATTTTAAAAGCATGAGGTTAAAAAAAAAGCTGAAATTAAATACAGATTCTAGATTTGGATTTAATATTAGAACTATGTGCAGAATGTGGCAATTTCTGCAAGCTCAATCTGTAATTAAAAAATATGAAAAATAAACCAGTAGACTGTTACAGTTCACATTATTTAACTATAATGTCCTCTCTCAAGTGTATCTTTCCAAGGGAAGCAACGTTAGAAACAAATCTGGACAAATTCATTCACAGTGGTGAGATCTGCTCTCGGCCTGTCCCGTTCCTTCAGGTTCATCAGCTTTCGGCATCTGCAGCCAGAGTGACTGGCTCAACATCCTTTTCAGTCTTCTGGTCACTAGTTTAAAACTGTACTAAGATTTGCAGAGAACCTTTGGTCAGGCAAACAGAGATCCACCCTCAGAGCACACATCTTCCTCCTCCTCTGATAGCTTCCAATTTAGGTTTCTTCACCACTAGCACTGATTAAGAGCAAAACAAAACCTTATCAAAGTCAATTAAGAATCTTTAAACTTTATTGACCTCCCTGGGTTACATACAAATGATACGCATTTCCTTTTTTGTCTGCCACACCTGCCACCAATATGCCAAAGGCAAGTCTTCAAATACCCGAGGATATGGATTAATTTTACAAGTGACATTTAAGTCCCCATTGAGTTACACCTGCTAAGCTCCCAACCAATTTCAAGCTGTGCACTATACCAAAGTCTTACACTTGACTTTTAAAGAAAACAAAGTTCAAAAAAACTTCAGCACAGAACAAAGTCGTCTTCTTTTGTGGAAGGGGCATGAGGCAGGAGTCCTGTTTTTAAAGTATACAACAGCAGACTTTTGATAAAAAAAGATTGTCGTGGGAGAGAGATTGTGTGTTCTAGTGCTCCGCTTCCCCTCCCCACAACCCCTCCCACCCCCTGGATCTCCCTCAAAGTGAGAATACAATGAAATTGGTTTGTATTTATAGATATTTTACAAGGTTAAATAAGAACAACAATAATAATAAAAAAATTGAACACTAAAATGAGCAGGTTTTTTTCTCTTTTTAATTTTCTTTCCAAACGTGACCAGTGTTGCTGAGTGACACTCAAGTAACTGGTGGTTCTTCCTGTGCAGCTGGCTGCTCGGGACTGTTCAGGTGGAGTTAGAAGCTGATGCAGAAGCGGCGTTGTTCGTCTGTCCACGGTCTCCGGCATTAGCATCTGCAAATCAAAAGCCCCAGGAGAGCATGAGCAATGCTTTAACACCCTAAGAGAAAAGTACACTGCCTGAACTGCAGATTGTGAGCTGTGTGGTCTTCTAAGGTGTATTTGAAAAGGTTGTTTTAGATGGGGCCAATACTAGGAAATCTGAATTTCCTTCTGCTTAGTGCTGAGTCCATGCCTTGGCCTGGGCCTGGCGCAGGGAAGATAGTGTCTTTGAATAAACTGGGGTCAGATACCACTTTTGTCAAAACTCCTTCTTTCAGCTGGGATTAGCAGTATGTGCATGAATACTCAGCTGAAGAGTCTGGTTCACCTGAAAATAAGTGAACAGAGGAAAACTAGGAAAACTTACTAAAAATTCTGAACCACGTTACAGTATGCCATCTGCTTATGGCACTGAACATAACATGGGCCAGCACTGAGAGGCACAAGCACTACGTGTAAATCAACCTCAGCTGCTTACTTTCTAAGTACAGTCCTTCTTCATTATTTGTATAAATGGAAGACAATCAGCAAAAAAGAAATAGCACTGATTCACTTATTGAATTCAACAAGCATCTTGTAGTCAAGTATCTTGGTGCTGAGCTTGCTTCACCTAATCCTCTGGAAATGTGTAACTTTATAATTAACTTTAACCATCCTAACCCCCTTTTTAAGGTCCATTATTATTTCACAGCCCCTATTAAAATTTAAGTGGGCATTTGGTTGCATCTGGATCAGCACTGCATCTCAGGTAGGCAACAGATTGCTATTTCAGTTGGCTAGTCCAGTCACATCCCTGTGTCATCATGTATGTAACTGCTAATACATACCATTGGGCACATTTTCTCCCAAACACTTCACACTGAGCCCTGAACAAGACGAGAAGTGGCTTGACTGGGATGGGTAACTTCTAAGAGCCATCTCCCTAGAAGTCATACTGCCCTTGATCATCAAAGCTGGTGACACCAAAGAAACAAGTCCAGGAGTTTTGTCTCCCTAGAGATTGAAGCTCTTCCTATATCCTATGATGAGTAAGCAGCTGTCATGGCTGAATGCAACATTTGGTCCTTGGATCTTTTTTGTTTGAATTTTTTAATTAGAGCAAGAAACAAAAGACCCCAAGGACACACAGGAATTCTTTACTTAAGGATCAGCTGTTAGTTTATCATTCCAATGGCTACTGTGAAAAACTACACTTCTTTTCTAATTTCCTGATTTTTCTGCCCTCAAAATACTCTGCCCTTACACACATTTAACAGCCTTTGGGGAAGAAATGTTTATACACCTCTCAATTTGGTTAGTTATGTTTAATTCATTTAACTTCCTTCAAAGCACTTATAACTGCTTCTAATCCTGGTTTCATGAAAATAAGTGTGGACATTACAGCATCAGGATCCATGCATGGAGTCATATTAATTCATTGCTATGACACATGGACAGGTGGCAAGGTATAGGACACAAAATCTTTCTCCAAAGGCAAGTACATGCCTTTTCCACTAATTCCTATATAACTATGTCTAATACTTCATTCATGACTCCTGGTCTTTCTTAAATATGTCTTTTTTAGCAGGAATTTCACTCTTCAATGATCATCCAAATTCTGTCATCAATGATAAACATCAATTTCTGTCCAGGCCACATGACCCTTTAAGCCTTTCTCAAGAAAAACAGTAATTTTCATAATTTAGGCACAGGCTGCTTTAACAACATGCCTAGGCCATGTTGAAAGGCCAACATGAAAGGCCACAAAGCTATTTCAGAATTATAATGTTCCTCACAAGTCCAAACTTACTGTAGCATTTCCCATGCTTTGGATGACACTAAGAACCTATGCATGATCATCATCAAATAGCACTTTTCTCTCATTTTTAGTATGTGAAGATGACAGGTAAAACTTTCATGTTTTGGTGCTCCTCAGGGCTTAAGAGATTTACCAATAATGAGGAATTCACCTGCTTGACCATGACATCAACAAATATACCGGCCCTGTTAGCAGCTCTGGCCCCACTGGAGGACACCTTCTAAGGTTCATCTACATGGCCATCCAGTTTGTTATGTTAATTTAC